TACTCCTCCAGCTCCAATTCTGGGTGTGTGGTAGTGGCATTTGTGCTTCAAACTTGTTCTCAAGGGTGATGATGAGTGTTGGTGCCTGTTTACTAAGAACTTCTTTGATTTTGTTCTCTTTTTTTGTTTATTCCTCTTTATCATTATACTGTTTTGTCTTCAATATGGATTTATAATTTTTAAAGGAGCATTTTATCCTTGGCAGTTCATAATTTAATTTTCTGCCATTATTCCCACAATCCTGCCATTATTCCCACAATTTATCCACTTACTTATTAATGCATCCATCAGTCATTTTCAACAGGGTCATCCATCACTTGTTTGCATCTCATATACTTTTCCACACAATAGAAATCACTCTTCTACAAACTACCTTTACCCCACCTATAAAGGAGAAAGAAGTTTACCCATTTGAATGAAGAGTCTGCTTAATTAGTTTCAACTTCTGTCATAGAGTTGATGTAGTTGAAATCTCACCTTCTCTTTAGTTTGGCAAATACTTAAGGCTTTTGAATTTTTGTTGTTGTTGTTCTGTCTACTCTTCTTATACTTTATGTAAAAAGATGTCTTTCTTATTTACAAATTTTAGTCTATTCTATATAAGGATATTGTGTAGAAGAATAGGGTTTGGAACACCTGGATTCTGTTCCCATTTCTTCTACTTATGATTTTTATGACCTGAGACAAATCATTTTTCTGTGAAATCATCTGTTAAACAGGCATAATAGTATTTGCTTCCATATCTAGCAGTGTTGCTGTAAGGAGCATATAAGGTAGAGCAGAATTTCTAACCCTTGTTACATATTGTCAATTGTGAACCTTTAAAAATATCACTTTACCTCTCCGGAAAGTTTGATTTCGTTTGTCTAAGGTGAGTCATGATACCGTTAGTATCCAAGGATTTTAACTGTAACTCAGTGAAAACCACTGAGGTACATAAAGCATGTTGAAGTTTTTAGAGATGTAAGTTAGTAGTAAAATAAGATTTGACACAAGACCGTGTTGTATTATTGTACTGAAAAGAAATAGATTATGCTAGAAGAATTTCAGCTTGCAAGTTCAGCAGGTGTTCATACTGAGGTAGCTTCATGGGGGTGGCCTTTGGTTGATTTTCTCCATCAAGATTCAGATGATAGAGGACCTTCTTTATTTTCACTCAGTTTTCTTGAATTTGATGGCATCCATCAAGTTAGACTTCCTCAGAATAAAGTAAAACCCTGAATGTAGTGCTTTCCTTTTCTGCTTCTTAACCACCATTTTATAAGACTTTCATTACATCCTATGTTAATACATTTATATAAAAGTAATGACTTTATACCCTCTGAACAATGAGAAGCAAAGTTGTGGTGGGGGACATACGTGTATTTGCCATGTCAAGAATACATTCCATGAGCCAGTCTCAGGGAAAATAAAATTCCCTGTATTTTACAATGGAATAATATGCAGCCATAAAGAAGGACAAACATATGGACTTCACAGCAACTTGGATGGATTTAGAGTCGGTCATACCCAGTGATCTATCACAGAAACAAAGAACAGAGTACATGTTCTCACTCATAAGTGGACCCTGAACATTTAACCATAAAAATGTAAGAAAGGGATTGGCAGTAGCGAGAAACTTCTGGAGTTGGGAGTTGTGTACAGCACCAATAAGGATACCTGATCTCAAACCAGGCAAAGTGGGGACCAAAGGGAGGCTCAAACTTTGCCTGTATGATGACCACTTGTATGCCTAAACCTGAATTATATCCCACGTTTTTTAAATAAAAAAAATAAAAATTTTCACAGAAAAAAAAAATTCCTGTATTTTATATTGTATCATTTGCTGTTCATGGAAGCCAAACAACATACTTGGCATGAATATATAAAAACAGTAATCACAAAATTAGTGGAGCGTCTTAAAATTTTATCTTTTAATGCATGAATCTATCTCCAAAAATATTAGGTTAATGCATAAATTCATAGTGTTTTTCACTTGCCCATGGAATGAAAATGTCTCACGATGGTTGACTGGTCACAGTGCATCACATTTGCCAATTCCTGGGTTGACTGACATGGATCATCATGGATTAAAGCATTTCAGCGGTCTTCCTAATGGTCTTCCTCAATGTGGAGAATCACTCAGGTCAAAGTGACCCTCGCTGCAACTATAAAACTATTTTCTTGCTTTGGTTTCCCCAATGACGTTCTCTCTGTAACAGCACAAATGCTTTGAGCCACCTCTGCTGCCTTTACTCCTGTGTTAAACTGAACAGAAGAATGTGTTTGAAGTGTTTTTTGTTTCCACTTGGCACTCCATCTTCTTTAGCCCACAAATAGCACTGACTTTCTTCAAACCCCTGCAAAATGCTAAGCATATTCACAAGCACAACATTGTCATTCCAAATGACAAACAATAAACAAATTTCCAACATTGCAGTGCTGCCATGCCAAAAGAAACACTACAAACTTACACTTCAACCTAATAATATTATAATATGAGTAAATTTCCTGTTTGGAAATGGAAAGAATGAATCATTCACAACTTACCAAGATTAAAACAAAAAGAAATTGGAGGTTTGAAAAGTTGTATATCTACTTGGACAATTGAATTTACAATTAAAACCCTCACAAAGAAGCCTATTTTAGTTCAGTTGTGCTGTGCTAAAATAGCGCTAAAATATCTTTTTTTTTTTTTTTTTAAGTTAATATGTCACTCTATCACCCAGGCAGGAGTCCAGTGGCGAGATCACTACAGTTTCAACCTCTTGGGGTCAGGAGATTCTTCCACATTAGCCTCCTGAGTAGCTGGCACTCCAGGCATGTACTACCATGCCTGGCTAATTTTTTTGATATTTTGTAAAGATGAGTTCTCACTAAGTTTCTCAGGCTGGTCTCAAACTTCTGGGCTCAAGCAGTCCTCCTTGCTTGACCTCCCAAAGTGTTTGGATTACAGGTATTAGCCACTATGCCTGACCTAACAAAATATCTTAAACTGAGTAATTTATAAGAAAAAGAAATTTATTTCTTGCTGTTTTGGAGTCAGGGAAGTCTAATATCAAGGTGCTACCATTTGGTGTCTGCTGAGAGCTGTTCTCCGTGCATCCAGGAAGGTGTATTATCACTACGTCTTCACATGGAGGAAATGATGAGTGCTGTGTCCTCATGTGGCAGAAGATAGATGGGCAAAAGGTCTAGCTAGTTACCTCAAGCTCTTTTACAAGGGCCCTAATCCTCATGATTAGTTCCACCTTCATGACTTAATCACCTTTCAAAGGCATCAACACTTATTACCGTCAACTTAAGGGTTAGGTTTCAACATATGAATTTGCGGGGGGTGGGGGGTACAAATATTCATACCGTAGCAAGACCATTAGACCAAGATGACTTCACTGGAGAATTTTTACAAAATTTAAAGAAGAGACATTATCTTAGTGATTAGGAAAAGAGTTAACATATTCTAAGTTGCAAAATTGTTCCCATTTGTTCTAATACTATTAATTGGCTCCAAGCCTTTGAATGCTCATGGAATTCTCGTGCTCTGCTGGTAAGAGTTTAAATTAATTAAAACCACTTTGTGAAGTGGTTTGGCTATTAAATGTGAGCATATGCATAACCTGTGTCTCAGCAATTCCATTCCTAGTTATATACCTTTCATCAGTGTGTACGTAAGTGCACTAAAAGTTTTGTAAAGAGTGTTCATGGCAGCATTATTCATGATAACCCCAATCAGGAAACAGTTCAAGTGGTCATCAGTGGAAGATGGATATGTGAATTGTGGTGTATTTCATACATTGAAATACTACACAGCAATGACAAAACCAACCTCTGCTGTATGCTGCAGTGTGGTTAAATCTCACAAGGAAAATGTTGAATGTTGAACGATAGAGGTCAATGAGATAGTATCTGATTTCATTTATATAAAATTCAAATATCAGCACAACCTATTCATGCAGATAGACTTTAGGGTGGTGGCTAGTTTGAGAATGTGATTTACTAGGAAAGAACACAAAGCAGCATCTTGGATTCATTTTCTTGATCTGGGTAGTATTTGCAGGGGTATGTTCATATTATAAAAATAGTCAAGCTAGCCGGGATCAGTGACTCAGCCTGTAATCCCATGCCTTTGGGAGGCTGAGGTGAGTGGATTGCCTGAGCCTGCGGATTCGAGACCCGCGTGGGCAGCGAGACCTCATCTCTACAATAAATAAAAAAATCAGCCAGGCGTGGTAGCGCATGCCTGTAATTCCGGCTACTTGGAAGGCTGAGGCGGAAGGATCGCTGGAGCCCAGCAGGTCGAGGCTGCGGTGGCCGGGAGCGGCCACTGCACTCCAGTCTGGGCGACAAAGTGAGACACCCAACTCAAAAAAAAAAAAAAAAAATAGTCAAGCTAAACATTTATGATATATGTTCTTTGCAGTATGTATATTTCAGTTTTTGTTCTTGTTTTGTTGTTGTCATTATGAACAGAAAAATATATTCTGTATTAATAAAGTAGCCTGCAACAACTTTAAGGGAGACACTGATAAGTAGGAACTTAAATTTTTCATTTATGCATTCTCAGTAGATTCAGCATAAGATTGTAAATGAAATGTAGTTCATCTAATCTCTTACCATATTGATTTACGTGGTTGATTTATTTATATATATATGAGACTCAAGAAAATAAGCTGCCTTTTCCTTTAAGGGATGAAAAATTGTTTCTTTAGAGCTAGCCTATGGGAAGTTTATAAAAGTATATGAATAACCTGTTCATACCTATTTCATTTTTACAAATTGGCATGCATTTTATAAAACAAATTTGGTGTAACTGAAGGGACCTTGATTCATGGGGTGCTTATAAAAGCTTAATTGCAGCAAAGTACTCTCACCTTGATGGGGTGTTCATTGGATATTTATTTAATAGAGGTCACAGACCTTAGCATTATTAAATGTTCTACTTTTTTAAAAAGTATATATTCACACCTACTCAGTAGTCTTTTGCTGTCATGATGAACTGACACAATTCATTTACTTTTTAGGTGCAGGTGTTTGGACTGTATTCTGGAGAAGAATTTCATGAGACTTTTGATTGTCCCATTAAAGTAAGTATTCACCTACTTTTAATTTTTCTAAAGACTTTTTCAACTAATGAAATAAGGATTACAATAATTTGAACACTATCAGTTCTGTATTAATTTTGTCAGTATCTATTCAACACTTGTACTGGATACTCTTTGGATGCTGTGAAAGAGGATAGGGTTTTATTTTGTGACTGTGATCTCAGTCTGTCCTCAAGGGGCTTTTATGTTTGTGGGTGAGAGCACACACACAGTGTCTCTACGAGTAACAATTTTAAGGAGTCCAAAGCTCAGAGGAGTCACTTTTAGCTGCTCTTGTTAATGATGGCTTCACTGGCAGAGTGATATTTGACTTGGCTTTAATAAGTGGACAGGGGCTATTGAAGAAGCTGGCTTTCCCTGTGAAAGAAATGGAGATGCTGGATAGTTCAACCTGTGTTCAGGAAATGGCAGTTAGTCTAGTTTAGATGGTGTATAAAAGACTGATTTGGCAAGAGAATATTCAAGCAGATTGGGCTGGCTTTATGTTAAGACTGGGAACTTGGACTCCATCTGGTAGATGTAGATAAATGATTGAATGTTTAAGAATAAAGTGAGCCGGGCATGGTGACTCAAGCCTGTAATCCCAGCACTTTTTGGGAGGCCTAGGTGAGGGGATTGTGTGAGCCCATAGGTTCGAGAACAGCCTGGGCAACTTGGTGGGACTTCATCTCTACAATAAATCCAAAAATTAGCTGGGCATGGTAGCACGCCCCTGTAGTTCCAGCTACTTGGAAGGCCGAGGCAGAAGGATTGCCTGAGTTCAGCAGGTGGACGCTGGGGTGGCCATGAGCGTGCCACTACACTCTAGCTCGGGTGACAGAGTAAGAATCCAACTCAAAAAAAAGAAAAGAATTAAGTGACATGAACTGAGCTAAGTTTTAGGAAAATTAATATGGCAGCTGTATACAATATTGACTGAAGGACAGATAGACAAGAATTAGGAAGACTTTACAATAATTATCTAGAAGTTTTAGATAATTATTGTAAAGTGTCTATTATGGCTGTTAATGGAAGAGGTCATTTTTTCCCTACTTATTTATTCAAATATTTATTGACCAATAGGTCAAGGAGAGATAGGATCTGATATGTGTTTTAAAAAAGCTGAATTTGCTATAATAGAGGATAATTTAAACAGGAGAGTGACTGGGGACAAGAGACAATTTAGAAGGCTAATGCAATACTCTAGATAGGGCATTATAGGCTCTCAGTAAAAAGGGTAATAGTGAGAATTTAGTATGGGGTGGAAGAAATTAATTTGGACAGCCTGTACTGTCAAAGACTTATCTAACCTTAGTGATATAGATTAGACTTTTCTAGCCTTAATGTTGGCTTGGATGAGGGTGATGAAAGATGGAAGGGCTGAGGGTCAGTCCAGGGTCTCGCTTTGGTGATGATATATGGGAATGCCATCAGTTCCAGTAACGGATGATTTGCAGTAAGAACCTGCAATAAGGACATGGCTAGTTTGGTCTTGAGTTTAGATAATTGTAGAACATCAGGTGGGGATGTTATGAAAGTTTTGGAAACCTGAGTGTGGACCTCAGGATGGTGACTGGCCCTTAAACACAATTGATAACCACAGTTGAATAAGTTGAAGCCAGTTTTAAAGATATCTAGTTTAAAGCTATAGGGTGAGAAGACAAGAAGATTGATGGTGAAATTCCAAAACATTCTAATTTGAAGACTCAGACTATAGAAGAAAAAGCAGCAAAGGAGTTCAAGAAGCAGCAGTTAGAGGAACTGGAGGAAATCCAGAAGAGTGGTGTTAGGGAAACCAGGGGAGGAAGGGTTTCCAGAAGGAAGGAGTGGACAGCGGTGTCAAAGGCATTGTGGAAATTAAATGGACAGGTAGGGGTGGAGAGGTGGATGGGAACAGAACTTTACTTGGTAATTATGAAGTTACTGGTGACCTTGATGCGTTATATTTTCAAGAGCAATATGTTCACCATGTACCAAGAGGTGAGGAAGTAGAAAGAACCAGTAAGACTCTTCTTTCAAGAGATTTGTTAATAAAGAAGAGAGGTCATCTGGTAGGTAGGTAGAGGGGTATCCAAGGAGGATTTCTGCAGATCATAGTTTGGTTGATGGTAAAAATTACTAGAGATGGAAAGATTAGAAATAAAAGAAAGGGCGAACTTAATATGAGTATCTCTAAGCAATGAGATTAACAACTTAAGTAGTGAAAGTAATCTTGAAAAAGAGTCCTAGACCCTCTGTCTGTGAGAACAGCATGAAGGAGGACGGGCTGAGTCCAACCCTTCTAACATCTGCAGGGGAGATGTGATGAAGGAATAGAGATGTTTCCAGTAACAGTCCATTATGTAGAGTTATGCATTATGAGAGAACCAAATGGACTTTTATGAGAGATTTTAAGAATGTGAAACAGTAGAATATGTAAATGCTTCAAAGTGGTATTTAGGATAGGTTAGGAAAGTGCTGAAGTGAAGGACTAACCTGGGGGGTAGAAAGGTTAGAGGAATGAAGCATCATATGCTAAGCCCTAAAATGACAGTATAGGAAGAGGAATCTATTAATCTATTCCATTGGTGAAAGGGCGTGTAGTAGTTAATTAAGTAGTTCTATTAAGAAGAGAAATGTATTTAAATGAAGGTTTAAAAAAGTATAACTATGTAGGATGTGTGTGTGTCTAGAAATATTTTTTATGTTAGTAAAAAACAAAATTTGTTAAGTTGGTGACTTCATGGGCGGTTTTAGTGATTAAAAAGAAGGAGGCCGAATATGTGCAGGCTTACAGCCACAACAGGTGAGCCCTGAAGATGGGGGTGCACTGAGTGTGAGTAGAGCTGCTGGAACTTTCTGTTGCCTTTGTTATCAACCCATCTCCCCCAACATGTTAATAATGTTATATAATCATAAAACCGTTGGAAAATGAAGGAAATAGTTATGAGGGGTGGTGGAGGTGTCTTGGGAGAAACCTGGATACAAAGGTCTAGGAGGAGATTGGCTGAGCAGGAAGCAGACGGGAACCAGGTGGAAGGGAACTTCGGTTGTGGATGAAAGGGAAAGGCCTAAATGGTCAGCTCTGGAAGCTCTTGGGTCCTGCAGCTCTGTTGTTGCTCCACTGAAGGGGTCTTGGTGTAATGTGCTAAATGTCTGGGAGGCTGCATTGTGACTTGGTGCTATTCGTCATTGACAGGCATCTTGGACCAGGAGTTAGCTGGGTTCTTTGTCTGGGTTTCTTCTATGAACTGTATCTAGTTAGAAACAGTTGAGAAAAACTTGCCACCTTGATTTGACCTCCATTGCTGCCTCTATACAGGGCGCATCCACTCTGAGGGGTCCTCAGCCAGAAACTAGAACTGATTTACTGTAGTCTTTGAGCTTTGACCTGGCTTCAGGGAAGGAATCTTTTCACACTGGAGTAAAACAGATGTCATCACTTTACAGAATCAGGATAATCAGATATCAAGATAATTTTTAGATCATGCTGCTTTTAATGCATGAAGTGTTTTCTTTCTGTGCTTTAACCGTGATTCCTAAACCAACACTGGGCACTGTTTCTCTTGTAGATCATTGCTGTGCACCCACATTTTGTGAGATCTAGTTGTAAGCAGTTTGTGACTGGAGGGAAGAAGGTAAGCGCATTTTGTCTTTGCCATGGTAGGTAGCTTTTGAGGGGTACTGTGCTCATTCTGTAGCTTATGCTTACTATTTTTAATGTGCAATTATTTGTTAGAAGAAATCTGAAAAAAACCAAATGTAAGAAAATCATAAGGCTATCATATTTTGGGAGAGTTGTGATCTCAGTGTTTTTCACTGCATTCCTTTGAAGTAGATATAGGTCAAGGAAAAAGAGAGCTGTTAACTCAAACTTTTATCTGGAACTTTGAAACATTGTCCCTTCTACAAAATACAGGCAACATTTAAAAATAACTAAAGAGCAATTAAACTAGTGACTTTTTACTCTTGTAGAAAATCTCTGGTAGGCCTTGATAAACTTTTAGAACAGTTATGACTATTCTTCATTGACATGTTCCTGGCACATTTTATTATCTCAGTGCTATTTAAAAAATAAGAGACCGAACTTTTCTATATATTAATATCCATCTTTCTGTTTATATGTACATTAAATTGTCAAAGAATCTTTCTGTTTTTAGAAATGGGTCAGGGTTTTTTTGATTTATTGATATATTAATCAGAGATTTTAAAAAAACTATTATAATAACAAAGCTATCACCAGACTGGGACTCTGAGTATTACTTCATATTCAGTTTAGCAAGTGGAAAAGAGGTGTTCTGTGGTTATTTTTTACAGTTGTGTGTAGCCACGGAATGTCTTCTTTGAGGTCCAACTACCACATGGTTTCAAATGTTTTATGATAGTTATACATCATTTTCTTTTGGTCTGGTATTCATAGCATGATATGGCAGGAAAGCATGCTGGTCATTACCTAGCTCATTGTGATGATCACATGGCAGGTCTGTAGATCCTGATTCTGTTCTATGACACAGAACCAAGGTTGCACCAGCTCTGATTTCTGCTAAAGAACCTTTCCTTCCCCCAGTTCACAGCCCATTGTTATCTTTCGGCTCTAGTCTTAGTCATTTCATGTAAACGTGTTCACAGGCAAATTAGTAGGAATTTTAGACTTAACTGTACAATCCCTAGCTTAGATCTGCAGCCGATTCTTTCCTGAAAAAAATAACTACCTTACTTGTCCCTGTCAGCCTCAGGAGTAGCTTTAAAATTCCTTTCGTATTTCTTTACTGAGCACTTTTCTGATTTGTGTGTGATACAACATAATTTCACATAACTGTGATTTATACACAGGGGTTTTTATTTAAAGCTCAGTGGGAGCCGGGCTCGGTGGCTCAGCCTGTAATCCCGCGCCTTTGGGAGGCTGAGGTGAGTGGATTGCCTGAGCCCGCGGGTTCGAGACCCACCTGGGCAACGAGACCTCATCTCTACAATAAATCAAAACGTCAGCCGGGCATGGTAGCACATGCCTGTAATTCTGGCTACTTGGAAGACTGAGGCGAAAGGATCACCGGAGCCCAGCAGGTTGAGGCTGCGGTGGCCGGGAGCGGCCACTGCACTCCAGTCTGGGCGACAGAGTGAGACTCCAACTCAAAAAAAAAAAAAAAAAACTCAGTGGGGATAAAGAATGGTAAGTCACTGCTTTTTGTTTTAAATGGCTTAAAATAACAAACATTTATGATCTCACACTTTGAAAATTAAATAGTGACTTAGCTGTTTGGTTCTGACTGAAGGTCTCCCAGGAAAGTATACTTAAGCAATTGACTGAAGCTTCAGTTGTCATCTGAAGGCTTGACTGGGGCTGGAAAGTCTGGTTCTTAGATGTTTGCTGCCTTAATAATTTGTCATATACTTGAAATATTGATAAATCACTTTGGTTTAAATATTTCCTTAGTGTGTGATGGAAACAGTTTTGAGTTCCAGTTTCTGATTTCAGAAGTTAAAGATTATTACAGTTGTTCCCTATTTCTTAAAGGTATTTGAATAAAATAATATACTAGAGATATTATAAGTGTTGATATCTATGTGATAGGAATCAAAATCTAAAGGAGAGATTTTTCTGTGCTGTTGTGTTCTTTAATAATAAGTGTATTCATGAAGTTTAATAATTGCTTTGTACTGTGATGGATACCTGTAGTCTTCATTGAATTTGCCACATCAGTTTTATTACAAAAGTATCTTGTCTACCTGTAGGATGCCAGGGTTAACGATGCCAGTAACATATTCTTTATCCTTTTACTTAGCATTTGATATAATTTACAAACATTTGTATTAAGGGCAGTGTGAATGTAGCAGCTTGGGTAGAAGCTCATAGAGTAGATACATAAGCATTGTGGGAACAACAGAGTAATCTGGCATCTGAGTGCTGGTGACATAGTATGTGAAGTACTTGGAATTTATAGAGAAATGAATCTTGTGATAAGCAACTGCTTTTAGGTAGAATTTAACAAGTACTGATTAGGAGAGAACATTGGGGTTTGATCTATCTCTTGGTTATCATTGACTACTTGACATGTTCAGTCTTCTGTGAGAAACCATAATTTATCTTTTTTTCTTATTTACTTCACCAGAAATACATCTGTAGACATTTATTTCCAAGCACAAAAAGATATTTATGTATGTATAAAATGAAAGTAAAATAAAAACAGTTATGCTCATCTGGTGAAAAACTGAATTAAAAAATGATATTATTAAGCTAGAATTTCAGTACTAAAAAATTTAAAAGAAAAAACACACTGAAGGGCTTAGTATATTATATACAAAACTTAATATACTGAGCTTGATATAAGTACTTGTGTGATATTTGAAGTAAAGAATTAAGTGATTACGTGTGTCAATGTAAGTGATTGATATTAAGTCATCATTTTTAAAGATTTTTAGATAGCTTTATTGATACCTTATTTGCATACCATAAAATTTGCCAGATTAAAATATACCATTTGATGGTTTTTAGTATATTTATAGTGCTGTGCAACCATCAGTATAATCTAGTTTTAAAATACTTTTATCACCCTAAAAAGAAAACTTGTACCCATTAGCAGTTACTCCTTATTTCCCTTCCAGCTCTCCTCCCATCTCTGGGTAACCACCAATCTATTTTCTTTCTCTATCAATTTTTCTATTCTAATATTTTATATAAATTATGGAGATTTCATATAAATGAAATCATATAATAGGGAAAATCTTTGTGTCTGGTTTCTTTTGTTAGTTTTCTTGGTGTGTCTATGTTATAGCATATATCAGTATTTTATTCCCTTTTATGACTAAATAATATTTTATTGTATGAATGTATTATCTTTATTCATTTGTCAGTTGATGACATTTGGGTTTTTCCACCCTTTCCCAACTTTTTGGGTTAGTTTATTATACAATTGTAAACATTTTTTATATATTCTAGATACATGCTCCTTATCAGATACATGATTTGCAAATATTTTTTCACAACCTATAAGTTGTCTTTTCATTTTATTGTTAGTGTCCTTTGAAGGACAAAAGTTTTTAACTTTGATAAATTCCATAAATTTTTTCTTTTTTGACACATGCTATCGGTGTTGTATCTAAGAGATCATTGACTAATTCAAGGTCATGAAGATTAGGGCCAGTGTTTTCTTTTAAGAGTTTTGTAATAGTACACAATATGGTGGCTCACATCTGTACTTCCAGCACTTTGGGAGGTGGAAGCAAGAGGGTTGCCTGAAGCCAGGGGTTTAAGACCAGCCTGGGCAACTTGGCAAGGCTTCATCTCTACAATTAAAAAAAAAAAAAAAAAAAAAGACCAGGCGTGGTCCAGGCACCTATAGTTCCAACTGCTTGGAAGGCAGAGGCGGAAGGATTACCTGAGGGCAGTAGGTCGAGACTGCGGTGGCTGTGATTGCACCACTGCATTCTAACCTGGGCAACAGAATGATATTCTGACTCAAAAGAAAAAAAAAAAGTAATAGATGCAAAACTGCTCAACTTGATTCTAGCAAATCACATTCAACAGTACTTTTCAAGGATCACCCATCACAGCCATGGGGCTTCATTCCCAGGATGCAAGGCTGGTTCAGCATACATAAATCAATAAACATAATCCATTACATAAACAAGTGTAAAACCAAGAACTACATAATTATCTCATTAGATGCAGAAAAAGCATTAAATAAAATCCACATCCCTTCTTGATTAAATATCCTCAAACACCTAGGCATCAAATGAATATTTCTCAAAATATGAATGCATATTTCTCTAATGAGCCATCTATGACAAACCTGCAGCCAACATCACACTTAATGGGCAGAAGCTGGAACCATTCTCCCTAACAACTGGAACAAGATGAGGATGTCCATTCTCACCCACCCTATTCATCATAGTACTAGAAGTTCTAGCCAGAGAAATCAGACAGGAGAAAGAAATCAGGGGTATCCAAACAGGAAAAGTAAGTTATCCCTCTTTGCAGATTATATAATGCTATACCTAGAAAACCCTAGAGAGTCTTTCAAAAACCTCCTCTCACTAATAAATTACTTCGATAAAGTCTCGGAATACAAAGTCAATGTGCAAAAAAACAGTTGCATTTCTATACACAAACAACAAACAGATTGACAAATGAATAAAAAACACAATCCCATTCACAATAACCACAGATAAATTAAACTACCTTGGCAGTCACCTAAACAAAGAGGTGAAAGACCTTTACAATTAGAACTACAAAACAATCTCAAAGAAATCAAGGATGACACAAACATATGGAAAAATATCCCATGCTCATGGATTGAAAGAATCAATATCATCAAGATGTCTGTTCTACCCAAGGCAGTCTGTAGATTCAACACAATTCCTATCAGATTGCCAGCATCATTTTTCACAGACCTGGAATAAACAGTACAGAAATTCATATAGAAGCTAATAAGAGCCCAAGTAGCTATAGCAATTCTCAACAAAAGGAACAAAGCTGGAGGCATCACACTTGCAGACTTTAAACTTTACTACAAGCCTGCAGTAACTGAGACATCATGGTACTGGTACAGGAATAGACACACAGATCAGTGGAACAGGACAGAAATAAAAACCACAGATCTTCAGCCGACTCATCTTCAACAAAGTCAACAAAAACAAA